AATCCTTCAATCTTGCTGTACTGTAGTGGCCTGAACCTCCAACACAATGTTGGGTGGAACTTGTGGTAATGGGCAGTCTTTCTTTGTTCACTATCTCAAAGGGAAAAAGAATCCATAATTACCACTAATTATGATACTTACTGCAGGGTTTTTTGGTAGATACATATCCTTTTTCAGATTAAACAAGGTTCCGTTTTCTAATTTGCTAAGAGTAAAAATGTACAAATTTAAAATTTGTTATCCCTTTACAACACTTCACCTTTAGTCTGTTAATGAATTTGCTTTTCTAATTTTAACCATCTTTTCAACCCAAGATTAATCTCAACTTGATTTTGACAGCCTTTCTCTATACTGCATTATTTGGTTGTTCATATAAAAATTAGGATTTTTTAAATCTATGTTAATAAGTAACATATTTCTATAATTTTATTTTGGCTTTGTATTATACTAGCCTCAAGAGGAGTATTTCCTTATTTTTATATACTATAGAAGATAAATTCTTAATATCAGAGTAACTACTTTTTAATGAAATGTGCCATGACTTCTGTTTCTAATTTCCACATTTAATAATTACTTTCTCTGGTTAATGATCATTTTTCTTATTTTCTGTATCTCCCAAGAGAGGAATATATAAATCACGAAAATAGCACTTGTCACCCTTTATGCTAATTTTTTTTACAGCTATAAAAGCAGATCCACCATACTGCTACTTTTTGAAATCTGGTCTTGATCTTAAAACAAATTAACTTTATAAGAATAGAATGATATTTAAAGAAACTTTACTCTGAAAATACTCTTTTGTTATGTAAACACAAGCAATATTTAACAAAGGAATGTTTTTATTTACCAAAATATAGACATGAATAGTCAACACAATTCCATTATGTTAAAATTTATATAAGAAAAACATACTTGGCATTTTCTTAACTTTTCAGTTTTACAATATTGAAGGTTTCTGTTTACTTGTTTTCTAATTCCTAAGAGATACATAGTATTTTAACAGTGAGAAAACTAAATAGCTAATATTCTCTTTTTTAACAACCGTGGCATGCTACTATTTTCAAACATACACATTACTATGTTCAAACATACACATTTCTAAAGTCTGCTGCATGCATTTCAATTGGAATTCTTCAAAATAATTTTTTTGGCATTTGGTATTTTCCACATAAGGGTAAAGACTGTATTACATTAGACTCTACTATCAAATTAACATGGCAATACAGTGTTCTGATAAACGAACTCAAAAACACTTTTGTGCAAGGACATAATTGTAGTTAATGTATTTAAGAGTGATTGAGTAGCTAGTGATTCCCATGTTGTGTTTTATAATGATCTCTGCTCTGATTTTTAACCTACACTTTTCAAAAACCAAAACCATGAAAGCATGATGATATATTCATATACCACAAGTTGAATGGTATGTAGTAATATCTTACCATAGTGCCTCATTGTTTTATGTCATGAAATATTTAAATTTACCTTCTAAAGACTTTTAAAACTTATGGTAAAATTTATAGTTAATTTTATGTAATTTGAGAAGCCTGACATTCAATACATAAGAAGCTTTTAAACAAAATCTAGAACATCAATATACAAGTACCACTATATTTTTATTTCAATGAATTTTAGATGTATGACTATTTGCTTATTAGGCCTTAACTTATTTTGTCTTTTGGTATCATACATAAAATAGTATTATATAACAAAACAACAAAAGCTAATTACCTAAAAAAATGATCCTCCCTTCATTGGTAGAATTAAATAGTGCTATTATTGTTATTTGATTTGACTTAAAATGAATAAGTTTCTATAATTAAGTCAAAGTAGTACCTGAATTCCCAGGGTAATAATTTTGCAATAAGCCCACAACAACTTTTACGGCTTCATGTGGATATTTAATAAAGTAGTATAGCATTTATTTTGGAGTACATTTTTTGAAAAAATGTTCTGAACCATAAAGTTCTTTTTGCTGTGGCCACATCAATTTTTCATTCAACCTAATAAATATTTACAAAAATAACAGAAAATTTGCTGGTAAATAAAGTACTGCTTTTTTTCTACATTATGATATGAGAGAATTCAATTTAAGATATCCACTTTGTAAATGCTGAATATCTCAATCGAGAAAATATGTAAATAATGATAACTAAATACTACTTTTCATCTGTTAATTGGAAATCAAATATGGCATTTCATAAAGATAATAGATTTTAATATCTAAGAGACAATATATTTCATGTATGCTTTTATCAGGTAAAAATTAACTATTCCATATAACAAAATAGTCATTTTTAAAATTACAGTCTTAAAACGAAACAGAAAAAAAGTTAATATACAACTCAGGTAAACTGTTTTTGACACTGTTAATACTGAAATGAAGCACAGATTTGGTTTCTATAGTTATATTAATAACAATGAGACTGATTAAATCACAAAAATGAATAACTCATAAAAGAACCCATGATGATTCTTGCACTGCATATATTATACCACCTTATTTTTTTTTTTAGATTAGAAAATGTAGTTTATTTGGAAAGTAAAATTGGGGGAGAGAGGGAGAGAGAGAGAGAGAGTCAGAGAGAGACAGAGAGAGAGAGAGAGGAGATCCACCTTGTGTTTTAACAGTTATTTTAACTTACTGAATTCAAATATATAGGGTTTTTTTGAATTAAGTAATCAGTTATTTGCTCTTATTTACTTGTGATCATAACAATCTAAATAAATTGTGTTTCAAGTCAAAGAGTATAGGCAGCTATAATGAATGTCTGAGGAAGATTTGAAAGCATTCCTCCCTAAGAATTAACAATATTATCAGAGATAATTCCTAATGCAGTTGGCCCTCTGTATCAGTGGTTTCAATATCCATAGATTCAAGAAACTGCAGGCTGAAAATATTCAGAAAAAAATTTTGTTTGCACTGAACATACACAGACTTTTCTTCTTTATTCCTTAAACAACACAGTATGGCAGCTATTTACATAGCATTTAGACTGTAGTGTTGCAAGTATTCTAGAGGTGATTTAATGTATAACAAAGAATAAGCAAAGATATATGCAACTACTCTGCCATTTTCTACCAGGGACATGAGCATCTGTGGATTCTGGTATTCGTGGGAGGTCCTGGAAGCAACTCCCTCAAATACTGAGGAAGGATTGTAATTATTTTCTTAAAAAAGAGAAAGAAACCAGATATTTATATAAGTAAACTAGCAATTCATTGTACATCAGATTCCAAGCACTGTTACATGGAGAGTAACTTTTTGCAATGAAGACAGAATCTTACTTTGAAATCTGACTGCTGCTGGCTGGTTGAGGAATCACAAAGCTCTGAAGTATGCTGTGGTGGATTATCTATGTCTGTAATGGAACTAGAAAGAAAGTTGTGCTATTCATACTGAGAATTTGCTGACCTTGGCTTTATAGACTTTCCCTTAATCTCAGAACTATTCCATAAACTTCATTTTCTGTCATGGTGGGTTCTAATATACAACATACACAATGAAAAAAATTATTTTGTATTAGATACTTCTCTAACAAAACTTTAATAAAGTATGGTATGTTATAAAAGATTAGATATGACAGTTATAATTTATTCCTAAAATAAGATATACAGTGGCTAACTGGATATAAGAAAAAAATCCACAGGTTATAACTATATGACTGTTACTCTAAAGGTACTTGGTTATAGTAAAATATCTTTATAATAATTTATTCTTATAGCTTCCCTTAGAAAATAATCAAATTATTACTAGTACTAATTTTCTATGGACTGATCATTCTCTAATGGCAAATTCTTAAATTATAAATGTTTAAAATTAATAATGCCTCTTTTCAAAAACAGTTTACTTAAAAATAGAGGTTTAAAAGTAAAAATGCATTTTATCATCTGATGTACTATTTTATGATAAATTTCAGTGCCAATTTATGTTTCTGAATGGATGTCTTTATACTCTGAAGGATTATACAGGCAATTTTTTTTTAGCATTACCCTACTACTCCTTCTAATATAATTAAATATGTAGGATATAATATTTATATAATAGGGTAAATATTTTTTACTGTATAGCTATAAACATTGATTATGAGAATAAAGTACATTCTCTTTATTTTTTAAAGTGAAAAGATTAATCTTTAGCACAGAAATGATCAATCTGTCATAATATGAGAAACAGTTATTGATCACAAGTATTTTAACCCTTAGGTACCATAAAAGTCTAACATTTTTAAATGGGGATATTATTATACACAAGAATTTAAAGTATTGTCTTTTAAATAAATATTGTTTTTCTCATTATTATAAAGCGTTAAACTTAAAGTAAAGCCAAACTTCAGCACTTATTTTAGATATAAAAGAACTGACATTTTCATATCTCTAAAATAAAAAATCATAAGTAAATTCCTCTATTGCTTTGAGTAAAAATAACTTAAAATATTAAAATAAAATTCAATAAGAGTATTATCTTTGTTCTTAGATAACAGTTGGTCTCTGATTAAATTTAAAGACATGAATCATAAATAGTAACAAATGAAAGATCAACAACATATTCTAAAAATGACAATATTCTGGACATAGTATCTTAATAATAATTGTGAAACTGTTTTCCTAATCACTGAGAAACTATCATTAACTTTCATAAACATTTTTTTTTGAGTTGGAGTCTCACTCCGTCGCCCAGACTGCAGTGCAGTGGCATGCGCCTGGCCACTGCAGCCTCGACTTACTGGGCTCTGGCGATCCTTCCACCTCAGTCTTCTAAGTAGCTGGAACTACAGGCGTGCGCTACCACGCCCGGCTAATTTTTGATTTATTGCAGAGATGAGGTCTCGCCAAGTTGCCTGGACGGGTCTCGAATCCGTCGGCTCAGGCAATCCACTCACCTCCGCCTCCCAATGCACTGCGATTACAGGCTGAACCACCGAGACCGGCCCATAAACATGTTTTCCATAGCTTCTACAACTGGAATTCAGCATAGTAAAACAGAAGCACTAAACTTGCAAAACACTTAGCATGCTATAGGTAACCAAAAAAATCTGCAAATGACATACAGTGCTGCAGAAAGCAGGCCAACCTAACACAATTTGGTCACTACAGTAAGGCTTCATGCATGTACATTTTTAAAAGTTTAAAAAAATATATACTGTTACTTAAAGCAGTTTTATTAAGTTCATGGCATCATTATTGAAGAGTTATCTCACTATTGAATAGCATTCAGACTATTCAATATTAATACAATAAAGTTGATTTAATCATTTATAAAATTGGAAATGAAACATGGAAATTATCTTTTAGGGTTTCTTTAATAAATATACCTAATATACACACAGTCCTATTTCTTTGGGCCTGTGATGCAAGTATGATTTAACTGTGTGCTGAGTTCATTATGTAACACAAGCATTTATGTACTGTGAAATGAAAATTAAATTGCTGTCAAATCAGAATTTCAATTTCAGTCAGAAATGCAGTAAATTATAGCATAATAAATATTATTTGTACAACTTTTCTCACAGATATTTTCTCAGCGCAGTACTGGGAAGGGTAGCAATGATCATATTATCTCTAAATAAAATAATAATTATTCTTAACGTTAACAGTAATAGTGCACATAGATTTTGACAGTTTTTTCTCCATAACTCTAAAAAAAGGCATTTATTGAAATTAGGTGATTTTGATAATTATTAAACTTTAACCACTGCATTAAGAAACAGGCAGCTGGTGATCTGACGCATAGGTTAATCTTGCCTTACTGTATTTTTCAGACCACTTGCGAGTCAGTTCTAGATAAAGACCAGGCTTATGAGGACGGTAATCCAGGTACACTGTGTTACTAGTTCTTTTGGGAACAGCTTTTTCAATCTGAGTTCCTTCATGCCACTCATTAAATGAGGTGATAGAAATCAAACTTGGGAGTGCCTGAAGTGCAGCACTCAGAGCAACTTCATAATACTTCCCACTGATGCGGTTCCTGGTGTTCTGAGTGTTCCATGGACGGATGCTGGTATCTATGTATCCTGGACCCACACTTGGGATAAATATTAAGTTGTATTTATCACAAAAGGATTTTAGGCTAGCCCAATTCTGATGCGATGAGCCATAAGTAAAGCCATTTGTGGCAAAATATGTGTAAACTCCATCAAAACCACTTTGAAGAATATCATATTTGTGTTTTTCTTCTACTAGAAGTGCAATAAACAATCCATCATAAGGAGAATTGCGAATACTCTGAGACCCTGAGGTGGTTAAGAGATTGGCCCATTTTTCAGGCTTGGTGATATAGGAATCATAGACATAAAACATAGGAAGATTGTTGCCAGTCCTTGTCTTGTATCTGTAAAAGGCTGGATGACTTCCATATCTGGAACACAAGTATATGTAAAAGTAAAAGGAATAGTCACAACTCACTTGCCATAGATAAAAACTGTTCAATGTACTGAAAATGAAGAAATCAGTGCAGTTGAAGCACTCTGCTCCATTTCTTCAGGGAATCAGTTATATAAGTGCAATAATAAAAAATGAATTGTTAATTTTACACATTAGAAAATGAGATGCTAGATACATTACTGAATAAGTAATTCATTGTCTCATTTGAGGTTTACAAATGATGACAAATGCCATAACAAACCTATTATTTTCTACATGAAGACATATGATGCTTTTTTTGTACCAATAGTAAATGTCCACTGTTGCTGACAAGGTTATTTGTAAAGTGTGACATCTGCCACATACTAGTATCAGTAAAATTCTTTAAAAACATGAAACTGTATTAACAAATTTTTTGTGCAATCAGACTGGTGGATATAAATTAAAATATTAGCTATGAGTTTACTGCCATAAAATAAGTAGTTTGTGTTTCATAATCTGAATCTTCTTTTAAAAAATACAAAATGCAATCAGCCGGGCGTGGTAGTGCATGCCTGTAATTCCAGCTACTTGGAAGGCTGAGGCGGAAGGATGGCCGGAGCCCAGCAGGTTGAGGCTGCGGTGGCCGGGAGCAGCCACTGCACTCCAGTCTGGGCGACAGAGTGCGACTCCAACTCAAAAAAAAAAAAAAAATACAAAATGCTATATTCCTAAAGTTTAGAATATGTCAGTTTAAAATATCAATATGACAGGAAAGATAAATAGCCTTATAAATACGTAAAACAGTGAAAATAACCTTTAGTACAGAAAGTGAAGTATAAGGAACTTCAGCAATGTTCCTCAAAATGATTGTAATAGTCACTATAAAAAGAGTTTAAATTAATTTTATTAAAATTGTCAGTACTGTCATTGAAATCTGTCAAATATAACTTAATATCAACTTTAATGTACTCGTCTTACAACAATAATTAACACTGGTGTATACAACAATATTTATAAACATTTAAGAAACTCACTTGTCTATAATATACTTGACGTTTTTGTACATGTTTTGATCATCTCGGTTGTTATATGGCTCTATGTGAAAAGCGACCTAAAACAAATAAAAAGATCAATTAGAGAAAGTAATTATCTATGATGTAAAAATAAAAGTATATTCCATATATTTAACAAGTGATTAATGTAACAATCTTAATTTAAGATGAATATTTATTGAACACAGAAATTACCAGATAATTCATAGTAATACAATTTACTAAGAGTTTCCTCTGCTAACTAATATGCTAAATCGCATGTTATACTTATTATCTCAGTTAATGTTCACCACTGCATAACGTAGTTACTATGACTATTTCCATTTTGTAAATGAAGCAGTCAAAATTAAGGTAAGTTCAGTTACTTGCCCAGGGTCACCAAGTTAGTTGGAGGCAATATAGGCCATCAGAATTCAGAGCTCAAATCCTCAACCACTGTGTAATGTTTCTTTTTATATGTTAATTCCCTGTAATATACATGCTATATAGAATATAGCTATATAAATATCTTATATGACACATATCTTATATATCATATCCATATAAGGTATATGATACATTCTGAATTAAGACAGGCTTTTATCAAAAAGAAACAAAATCAGTATGGTCCAGGAAAATCTAGATTCTTTTTTCAGGTGTGTGATCATTAAATTTATATTAAAATGGAATCAACAGTTGGTGCTTCTGTGTTGGGTGCATATATGTTTAGGATATTTCTTGTTGATGGATGAAAACTTTTTATCATTATGTAGTGTCCTTTCTTATCTTTTTATAACCTTTGATAGCTTAAAAGTTGTTTTGTCTGATATTAAGATAGTAACTCCTGCCTTATTTTGTGATCCATCTGCCTGGAAATTAATTTTCCATCTTCTAACTATGAGTCTGTGAGTATTCTTTGTAGTGAGATGAGTTTCCTGGAGACAGCATACCACTGGGTCATAATTCTTTTATCTAGTTTTCCATTCTGTGTCTTTTCAGTGGTGCATTTATTCCATTCTACATTTAGGCTGATTATTGAAATGTGAGAGTTTGGCCCCTGTCATAATGCTCTTATAAGGCTGTTTTGTTTTTGTTTAGCTTTTGTGTTCATATGTGTGCGTATTTTCATTTTTTGCAAGTATGCTGTTTGTTCTGCTCCTTCTGTGTTTATGAAATGTGAAGTATATGGTATTTCTTTTGTTCATTTTCTCTTCTATCCACAGGACTTTTTTTTTTTTTTGAGTTGGAGTCTCACTCAGTCGCCCAGACTGGAGTGCAGCGGCCGCTTCCAGCCACCACAGCCTTGCCTGTTGGGCTCCGGCGATCCTTCCGCCTCAGCCGTCCGAGTAGCCGAAATTACAGGCATGCGCTACCACGCCCGGCTGATTTTTTGATTTATTGTAGAGATGAGGTCTCGCTTGCCCAGGCGGGTCTCGAACCTGCGGGCTCAGGTAATCCACTCACCTCAGCCTCCCAAAGGCGTGGGATTACAGGCTGAGCCACCAAGCCCGGCTCACAGCACCTTTTTAAGCATATCCTGTAGAGCTAGTCTCTGAGCAGCATATTCTTTTAGGGATTGAATGTCTGGGAAGGACTTTAATTCTCCCTCACTGATGAAGGTTAGCCTGGCTGGGTAGGAAATTCTTGGTTGAAATTGTTTATCTCTGAGAACATTAAATATTAGGGTGCAATTCCTTCTGGCCTGTGTGTTTCTATGGATGAGTCTGCAGCAATTTTGATTGGTCTCCCCTGGTAGATAGTCTGATTTTTTCTTTTATACCTACTTTGTGTAAGTGAATTACTATGTGTCTAGGGGTTGGTCTTCTCATAAGATGTCTTGCAGGGGTTCTCTGAATCTCTTGTGCTTGTATAGTCATCTCTCTGGCCAGATGAGGGAAGTTTTCCTGAATGACCTCATGGAATGTTTGTGCCCTGGTATTTTCTGTTTCTCTTTCTATTTCAGGTATTCTGATAAAAACCCCCAAAGTTCATGCCATTAGAGATAAGACTGATGAGTGGAATCTTAACAACTGAAAGGCATCTGCAAAGCAGAAGAAACCATCAAGAGTGTGAAGAGACAGCTCACAGAATGGGAGAAAATATTTGCCAACTACCTATTTGACAGAGGTCTAACATCCAGTATCTACAAGGAACTCAAATGTGCCCAAAGTAAAAACAATTAAAAAAAAAAAAAACAACCCAGCCCCATTAAAAAGTAAGCAAAATACATGCGTAGACACTTCTCAAAAGAAGATATATAAGCAGCCAACAGACACAAGATAAAACGCTCAGTCTTACTAATCATCAGAGAAATGGAAATCAAAACCACATTGAGATATCACCTAACTCCAGTAAGAATGGCCATCATTAATAAAACAAAAAACAACAATGATGGTGAGGATGCAAAGAAACGGGAACACTTCTACACTGTTGGTGGGAATGCAAACTAGTTCAATCTCTACGGAAAACGGCGTGGTGATGCCTAAAAGAAATAAAAATTGACCTTCCACATGACCCAGCAATCTCCTGTCTGGGAATATACCTGGAGAAACTTAAATCACTCTACAAAAAAGATACTTGCATTTGCATGTTCATTGCAGCACTACTCACAATAGCAAAAACATGGAACCAACCATGCTGTCCATTTGAAACTGGACTAGATAAAAAAAAATGTGGTACATATACATGATGGAATATAACACAGCTATAAAGAAGAGCAAAATTATGGACTTTGCAGCAACTTGGATAGATTTAGAATCTATCATACCCAGTGATCTATCAAAGAAACAAAGAATTGAGTACCACATATTACCACTCATATGTGGACCCTGAACATTTACCATAATACAATAAGAAAGGGATTGGTAGTAGTGGGAATCCCAGGTATGGTACATAACATCGATAAGGGTACTTGATCTCAAAGTGGGTACCCAAAGGGAGATCCAAACTTTACCTGTATGTTGACCACTTTTACACCTAATTCTGAATTGTACAACAGATATAAATCAACAGCAAATTTCTTTACAGAACAAATTACTCTATATAATTAAAATAACATTTCACAAAATAATCTACACTTAATTTGCACTATTATTCAAATAATTTATGAAATTACTAGAGATAATTTCTACTGTTATTAATGGCAGTAATTTTCATAATGCTTAAGTTATTGATAGGGTTTATATGTTTATATGTCTCTAATAGTGGAAAACAGTTTTGTTTTGTTTTGACTTAGAGGGTATGTGTGTGTTTGTTTTAATGCTAAGGTTGACGATATATTTGTAATATATTTTTCAAGTTTTGGCAAGATTGACTAAATTCATAAACAACTTGACTAGGGGACATATAAGATTATTTTATTGAGGAAAATTAATTTTATTCTGCTAAGTTTTCCAGTGTCAATTTTATAAAACAGGGGTAGGCTTAGTTATGTTAGAATGGTTCACTCTATTTCTTTGTAGTTATTGGGAAAGGTAGTCATGAAAAGTCTGTGGACACCATTTGGCTTCCTACGAATGGGCCTTGGGCTGGATCATTTCCTTACTGAGAGAAAAGAGCCCTCAGGGTTGGTGCTGGGCTTATCAACTTGTGAGGAAATATTGCTTTGTTTTGTTTTGGTTTGGTTTTCCTGGACCTAATGAGCAGTTTTGTGTTCTTAAGAACATTTGTCAGTGGCTTTCAGGCACACTCATAGCCTTCTTTTTTTTCAACTTTAAAGTTGTGGGGTACAATTCAGGGTAAGGTATACAAATTTTCACTATGCAGTTACCCTTGTTGATGAAGTGTGCCCCTCCTTCCCCTGGCTGTTGCCCTCTACTACCAATCCCATCCTGTCCCCCCACCCTCCCGCCTGCAGTTTCCCACTACTGCCAATCCCTTTCTTATAGTATTATGATAACTGTTCAATGTCTACTTGTGAGAACATAGGTACTCTGTTCTTTGTTTCTGTGATCATATCACTGAGTATGATAGACTTTAAATCCATCTAAGTGTGCTGCGAAGTCCATGTCTGTCCTTCTTTACTGCATAATATTCCATTGTGTATACATACCCCATTTTTTTTTTTATCCAGTCCAGCTTCGATGGGCAGTGTGGTTGGTTCCATGGTTTTGCTATTTGAATAGAGCTGCAACAAACATGTGTGCAGGTGTATTTTTTGTAAAATGATTTGCATTCCTCTGGGTATATTACTAGTAGGGGGATTGCTAGGTCATATGGAAGGTCAAATTCTACTTCTTTCAAAAAGATTTTTTTAATATTGTACATATATTTACAGTTTTTTAACTTAAAAAATGGGTTAGCTATAATAAATCAAGAAAAACTAATTATGGCCAGTAAAACCATCTTGTATATCAATTCTAACTAGTAATGTAGAAAAAATGCAGAAAATACTTCCCTTAAATGACAATCTATTTAAGAATTGTAAAAAAAAGAATAAGAGGATTTTCACTTTTATTTCTAATTTTACTAACTTAACAACAGTAATTAAAAATCTTTACGGCAATATAATATTGATACTGTTTTAATTTCAGGTTTCAGGCTCCATGAAGTACTTACGGAACTAGAGACTTCTATTGCAATATAAAACTTCTTTGTTTGCAATTACCCAATTAAAGTGAAATGTATTTTACATTAATCAGTGCTACTTGTTTTCTCAGAATCAATTTTAAAGTCAGATAGAATTCAGTGAGATATAATTCCCTAATTTTAATGAGATTGCAGTAGCAATATTACATAAAGAAAGTTTTTGTCAGTAACAAACTAAGGTCAAATTTATTTTTGCAGTATATATTGTTAGTATTGCTAGAGTAGTAACTGTTAGGGCAGTTAGATCTCTCAGTAGCTTTGGTATTTACTTTTTAAATTCAGTTGAAAGAAAACTGTCAAAGGTATGGGTATTTTCATACTCTTATATAATGTTGTTGTAGGTAATTCTTCTTTCAGAAACAACACTGTATTTTCTGAATTTCCATTTTAAATATAAAGAACACTATATTTAACTTTTAACTAATATGCTATTTGGAATATCTACATCAAAATAAGTTTGCTTTTAAAGCTGTAAACTATAAATGGCATGCTT